CCTTGACGTTTTAGAAACAAAGAAAGAAAAAATGTCAATCAAAAGGCCTTCAAGCAAGAATATAAAGTTGATGTCTGTTATCTATTTAACAATGAAGGTGATTTCACTGGACAAGGTAAATGTTTCACCGTATTTTTGCACCTATCTCTCCAAAAAGCAATTGTTCTCTTTTATAATTTTTACCAAACTCAGAGGTACTCTAAAGCAATGGCTAGGTAGCTACAAGTTCCTACTAGAAAGTCTAAACAAGCTCTCTTGAGAACCAGCAGTTAGCGTAATGGCTACGTCGCTGGGCTCCCACGTAGTCGACCGCGGTTTGCATCCCGGACCTGGTGGCTTAAAAACCACGCCGGGCACATGTGTGTGCGTGCCCAAAATCCTGAGAGGAGAATGGAGGAGAAGGGATTGTGGCGTGACCATCCCCCCTGGGGGATGATTTCTCGCTTTCTGTCTCTATGTCTCTCTCTGTCTGGCGAGCGCAGGCGCCCTATAGCAAAAAAACCTCTCCAAAAAAAAAAAAAAAAAGAGAAAGAAAGTCTAAACAAGCTCTCAAAGTCCATTTGTAAGAGGTCGCTAGATAACTAGGAGAACTCAATGATATTTCAGTTGTTTTCATAAGATGACAACCTTCCAATTCAACTGCCAAGGATCATTTCCTCTCAAACATTCTTCACCTTTAGCGTCGACAGCAATAAAAATAGGACCTAACCAAGGAACAATTAGAAAACATCCACCTGCTTTATCTAACATGCCATTTTTGGGGACCAGCAGATAGCATAATGGCTATGTCGCTGGACTCCCATGCAGTCGACTGTGGTTCACATCCCGGACCCAGTGGCTTAAAACTCACACCAGGCGCGTGTGCATACGTGCCCAAGATCCCAAGAGGAAAACGGAGGAGAAGGGACTGCGGCGTGGCCATCCCCCCTGGAGGGTGATTTCTCGCTTTCTGTCTCTGTCTGTCTGGCGAGTGCATGCGCCCTATAGCAAAAACCTCTCAAAAAAAAAAAAAAAAAAAAAAATAAAAATGCCATTTTTTTTTTTTAAAAAAAAAAAAAAAAAAAGAAAGTTAACATGCCATTTTTTATTGTTTCAACATACTTTCATATTAGCTGAAAATAATTTTCTTTGGTTCTTAGGCACTTTGAAATTATTCACTGTGTTCAACTGGGGATTTGGTTTTATTGTTCTCTTATTGTTTTATAAAAAAGGCTTAATAAATTAATAATTAACTATGTAGGAGAAAATGAGAATAACCTCATCTTATCTATTTAAAGTTTAACTGGAGACATTAGATTTGCATTTGGACTTAACTGTTTCCCAATAAATTTAGACATCTAAGTATATTTCAATATGACAGTAATTGAGTCTGGTACAGACCTATAACTCTTACTTATAATCTGATCTTCCTGTCACTTTGATATTTAAATCTTAATGTATAAACAAGCTGTGACCATTTCATTTCATAAAAGTGAATCCAAAGGCAAATGCTGATATCCCATTTCATCTATCACACTAGGAATTGACATGAGGATTTATCTATGTAAATGCTGATGAGAAAAAAGTATTTCCATTAGGAAATGATTAGATTATAATGGAAATGGAAAGATAAACTTTGTATATCTGAGACATTCTAAATTTAACAGATTAGCAGATTGTTGTTGTCCAGGCTTCACAATCCTGCTAATTAAGATCTCTGGATTACTGGGAACCAGCAGTTAGCGTCAAGGCTATGTCGCTGGACTACCATGTAGTCGACAGCGGTTCACGTCCCGTACCCGGTGGCTTAAAACTCATGCCGGGCGCGTGTGCGTGCGTGCCCAAGATCCCGAGAAGAGAATGGAGGAGAAGGGATTGCGGCGTGACCATCCCCCCTGGGGGGTGATTTCTCGCTTTCTGTCTCTATGTCTCTCTCTGTCTGTCTGGCAAACACACGCGCCCTATAGTGAAAATCTCTCCAAAAAAAAAAAAAAAGATTTCTGGATTACTTAATGATTCTTACTTTCTGGTTTTGTTTTATTGAACTGATGTACCAAATCTGTTAAGTTTTTCATGGGGTCAGCAGGTGGCATGGTGGTTAAGGTGCTAGATCCCACAAGGCAGACTCCATAGTTCAAGTCCTATACCAGTGGCCTAAAACACACAACAGGTACGTGTGTAAGCATCCAAAATCTAAGAGGAGAATGGAGTAAAAGGAAATGTAGCATGGCCATCCTCCTGGGTGGATGTTGATGTCTCACTTTTTCTCTCTCTCACTGTCTCTCTCCAGCAAGTGCACACACTTTAGGGCAAAAAATTAAAAAAAAAAAAAAGGTTTTCCTGGTGGAGGGGGAGGAAACAGCAAGTAACTAGAGCTATAGGCATCCTTTGAAGCTATACAAAAGAAAACAAATGATCCTTCCAAATTTCTAAATCTAAGATGCAGTACTTTGGTATATTTTAAGTATCATTTAGAAATATAATCTATGTGTGGGAGAGTTAAAAACATAACACATTGATAAAAACTACTGTGATGAACAAAATCTGTAATATGACAGAATGATGGTAATTTTTCTTTCCTTCTAAGAAAATTGTTTTGTATAAACTAATTTCATCTATAAGAATAAGAGACATACATATTTATGTGAGAAGTACAGACAAAATCAAAACATTTTAGTTGGAGTTCTATGGAATTGAACATTTTTTGTTAAAAAAATAAAATAAATCCAAATCTAAAAAAAAAAAAAATGTGGCATACTTTACTGTTTAAAGGAAAATATATGAAATACATATGTCATATGATTTTATGCCCTACTTTTTATTACATAATTATATATATGATTACATATGTTAATTTTCAAAGCGTCTTCTCACAAATTAGTTCAGTACATTGTCATAACAATTTTGTAATGCTAAGTGTGGGAAGGTTCTACTCTAAAGAAGAGGCAAACTTATTTCTGTGAATTTAAACAGTTAAGTGGTAATAAAGTCTTATGTTGATAAATATCATTTATTACATAGAAATATTTCAAATCATTCAAAATCTGGAAGCTATGGGCAATTCCTTTAGTTACTTGGATTTACTTAAGGTTGTAATACAGATGAAAGATAGGGTGAGATAGAATGATCTTTCCAGTTCTAGCCAGTCCAAAAAAAAAATCACCTGAACCCATCCAGCAATCTCTAGTCCACAACCATGAAACCCCTAGGTCAGTTCACATCTCTGCCTTTTTTGTTACAACCGTTTCCTAACTAGTTTCATCACTCTGACCCATATATAACCAGATTGATCCTTCTAAAAGGCAAGTCCAATATTGCCACTTCCCTGCTGAAAACTCTTCAATGGCTCCAATTTCCTTTAGAATGAAAGATGAAAGACTAAATGCATAAGGCACTCTCTTCGGCTTAATCTTTCAACTCAACTCTACCTCTACGCCTCCTTCTTCGAAAGAGAAAAAAGAAAAAAAATCAGTAATTTGAACACGTTCTTTCTCACTTCTAGGCTTTTGTGCATTGTTTTTCTTGCCTAGAACGCTGCCACTCACATCTTTATCTGTTGAGCCTCTGTGTATTATTCAGGTCTCAGATATATCCTGTAAGGAAACTTCCTAATTCTTTCAGGTTCAGTTAGATGCCCCTGCAGTATCTTTCTACACTGGAACTCATATCACTTTCTTATGATCTTGTTTTAGTTGACTATTTCTCTTTCTGGCTATAACTACATGACAAAAAGAATGTGTTCTGCATACTATGGTCTATCCAGGGCCCTGTATAGTATCTTGGTAGGGGTTCAGTGAACTTATGTAGAATGAAAAATATCAATATAAGTTAATTTTCCAAAACAAAACATTTTCATTTAAAGTACCCTTATGGGCTATTTTGATAGTGCAGTGGTAACACTGCTCAAACAAGGCTGGGTGCATGTTAAAGATCGTGGGCTCGGTTCCCCTATCACACTAAGCCAGCCACATGTGCCATGATCCAGGCTGGCTGGGAGGGTTGAGGAATCACAGCACTATGATGCTTGTCTTTCTCTCTTTCTGCCTTTTATGGAAGAAAGGAATAACTCAAAAAATTATCTTTAATTTGATAAACACAGCACACAATAACACCGATTTAATATATTTAATATACTTATTATTCAACCAGAGATCAGGTTAAATATGTGTGTTTAAATATACTTTGTAGAAAAAGTATGCTTAGAACATGTTAGGTAAAAAAGAACAGTATTATAGCATTTATTTAAGAGCCAGATGGTGGCACAGTGGTAAAACATGATACCCAGTAAGGCAATCGCACATGGAAGGTTCCCAGTTCACATCCAGAGACCTCCCTGAGAATGCCGGCTGCATGTGTGCCCATGATCTCAGGCTGGCTTATGGCTGGGGATAACCTGCAGAGTCAAGACCCCGTTGGGGATGGGCTCTCTCTCTCTCTCACTTTCTCATAGAAACAAACAAACTTAAAAACAACAACAATAACAACAACAACAACAACAACAAACTTATTTAAAACACTGGAGAAATGTTATAAACAAATAATAATAATTTGAAAAGCAAAATGGCAAGTAGATTCTTTCCTAAACAAACAAAAAATTTTGTTGTTCTTTGGGTACGAGGAAACCTGCTCTCTTGTTGATGACTTTTAAATGGCTACATGGTGGAGACAGTAGGGGAAGTATGAATCTAGGCCTTGAACTGATGATCTGCACTCTCAAACCTCTGCTCTTATCCTTCCTTTGCAATCTCTTGACAATACAAGCAAGACAGAGGGGTAAACACTATGGGCAGCCCTTAGGAAGCATTACAAACTGCTTCAGAAGAATTCGAATCCTTCTAAAACTATAAAGTGAGGCGGGAACAAACAACAAACAGTAACCCCACTGGCACATGGAGCCACTGAAGAGGTTTTCGAATGTAACACTTGGCTCTGTAATAGACTCTTTCAACACAGTACAGATGTGAAGTTAAACAAGAATAGAACTTTTTAAATACGAAGCAATATGAAGTGTCACTAGTTACCTGTTCATAATAGTGGACGTTCTCCTCAGCCATCTCTGTAAACGCTGACTTCAGATCGTTTTGCATATTCTGTTTCCATCGTTCCCAGTCTGCTTTCAAAGCATTGTTAGCACATTCCACTTTATCTTCAAGTTTTCCAATTTCTTCTGTAAGCTGAAGTAGGTCACAGAGAGAGAGAAACTGATCTACATATTCTGCCGCTAGGTGAATTACATGAACATTATGCCAAACCAGCTTAAGAACTCCTTCTCTGAAGTCACCAGTACGTACAGTGTGTACTAGTCAAAGTGAAAACCCTGAGTTCAGTCAGGGCTGTTAAACAGAGTTCTACGCTGGCCAAAGATCAGCTCTTGACCTTGGTTAAGTCTTTCAAAACTGGGCTTCATTTTCACTATTTATAAAGGAAACTGAACTACTGGATGATCTGAAAATCCTGTTGAATGAACACTCTCAATACCACTGTCATTTCTGTTGAAAATTACAAAAAAATAAGGAATTATTTATTATTATTTTAAAAATTTGTTATACAGCATGTGCACACATTAGAGAGAGACAGAGTGAGAGAAAAGAGAGAAAGCAAGTTGTCAGGTCTGGGACTCAAACTGGTCAGCCATGTGGGAGTCTAGCACCTTAACCACTACACCACTTGTTGACCCCAAGCCATTTCCATTTGAAGAGAAGCTACAGCACTGTTATGGTCACCAAGACACCCAAGGGCCCTCAAGATCACATAGGCCCTCCCAGCTACAAGAGACCAGGACTGACAGGAGCCAACATGACTCCACAGTGAAATACCCTACACCTGACCTTATGTGACAGGTCACAATCAAAATCTACAGTGTACTGTAAAAATGTTATATATTAGTTTTAGTCTGTGTGTACAAAACATACATACAACATAAATAAATTTTCTTTTTTTGGGAGAGGTTTTTGCTATAGGGCACGTGCGCTCGCCAGACAGAGAAAGACAGAGAGACAGAAAGCAAGAAATCACCCCCCAGGGGGGATGGTCACGCCGCAATCCCTTCTCCTCCATTCTCTTCTCGGGATCTTGGGCACACATGCACACGTGCCTGGTGTGAGTTTTAAGCCACCGTGTCCAGGACACGAACCGCGGTCGACTACGTGGGAGTCCAGCGACATAGCCATTACGCTAACTGCTGGTTCCCAAACATAAATAAATTATATGATTAGACTTGGGTCCTATCCCAAAGATGTCTCAATCTAATGCAAATATTCCAAAATCTGAATATTCAAACTCTGAATATGAAACCCTTCAGGTCCCCAACATTTCAGATAAGGGATGCTCTCCCCGTATTCATTATCTGCCTCCTCTGAACCAGGCATTCTAGAACCCCAATATTTGGTAGTGAGAGATTAAAAAACCCTGCCTTTACCCCAGCTTATACTCCACCACAGAGACAAAACTATAAGCAAGAGACATATGAACTGGCATTAGATGCTAAAGATAAAAGTGAAGCAGCAAAGTGGATAGGAGATGCTAAGGTGCAATTTTAGACAAGGTGACCAGGGAAAGCCTAAATAAGAAAGCACCATTTGAACAAATCTCTGAAGTAGATGAGGGAGTGAACAATGGGGTTCTCAGTGAGAAAAGCCCTCCTAGCTGAGGAAACCACAGGGCATGGCCTGTAGGTAGAAGCATGCCTGGCATGTTCAAGAACAAGGCTGTATCAGAGTGAAGAAAAAGCAGGGGAAATGAGGAAATGAGGTCAAGAAGCAGTGAGTGACCAGAGCATACTGAACTACGCGTCTATGGTGAGGTTCTTGGATTCTGTGAAGATCCGAAAGTAAGCAAGATTCGAGGGAGATGACACCCTCTTGCTCACGTTTTAAAATGGGCATTATCTGTTACCACCATTTTGTGACTGAAAGTATTTGTAAGAGATCAGCACTGAAGAAAAATTCTATTTCAAAGACGTTAAAATGTGAAACTATGTGTCTTAGAATAAGCTATGTTGTCTCCATTGTTTGTTTGAATTTACTTTTTGTTTGGTTTGGTTTTTAGTTTTTGCTATAGGGTGCATATACTTGCTGGAGAGGAACTGGGAGGTGGGGTGGGGTGGTGAGAAATCACCCCACAAAGGGGATAGCCACGCTGCAATCCCTTCTCCTCTTAGGATTTTGGACTCACATGCACATATATGCCTGGTGAGTTTTCCAAGACACTGGGTTTAAGACTACACAGTTGGTTATGTTGACTCTAGCCACTTCAACCACCATACCACTGGCTGGCCCACAATTTTTTTTTTTTTTGATACAGGGTTTTATTTCTTTGTTTTTATAGCATTGCAGCAATACATGGTTTTATTTCCCTAAGAAGAGATATTCAGTATTACAAAAATTTTTTATTACCTGTGGGTAATGAATTGTAATATATTGACTTTGATATTTTTGCATGCATGTTTTATTTTTTATTTTAGGGAGGTTTTGCTATAGGGTGCATACACTCGCCAAAGAGACAGAGAGACAGGGGGGATAGCCACACCACAATCCCTTCTCCTCCACTCTCCTCTCAGGATTCTGGATACACAGGCACATGTGCCCAGCATGAGTTTTAAGCTGCCATGTCAAGGACCTGAACTGTAGTCGACTACATGGGAGTCCAGTGATGTGACCATTATGCCATCTGCTGGTGTTATATATTTGAATTTTTTACTTTCCTTTTTTATTTGTAGGATAGAACTATCTCAGCAAGGCCATTTATTACTTTATGGTATGTGCTACTCTTTTGGATAATCATTCTGCTAAATCTTGAGGATATGTCTAATGGGATGCTAACTGCATAACTAGTGTTTATAGGCTGTGGATACAGGATAAACTGAAGGTAAAATTCATGGAAGGCCAAACTCAAGTGGCATTTGAATCTGCTAGAAAAGCTCCTATGCTGGTTAGAAAGCTCCACTCCTCTGAGTTGTAGGATGGAGTCTTTTCATTTGCACAGCCAGAAATTAGTAATGAAATGTCCCTTGTGCATCAGGAATCACATCCACCTTTTGCAGTCCCACTGTTACTCTCCTCTGCTTCAGCTTTGCAGTCTAAAACTGCTATGGACTAGAGTAGGATTACTGGCAGAGCAGCTCTACCAAAATTAGCTTTAGGAAACACAGAATCGAAATCACATACAGTCATGTGCCATATAGTGATGATTCAGTCCATGATGGGCCACATGGATGACAGCGGTCCCAGCAGATTATAATAGGCTGGGTATGCAGTAGGCTATGCCATCTATGTTTGTGTAAGTACACTTTGTGAGGTTTGCCCAATGATGAAATCAGTCAATGATGTATTTATCAGGATATACTCCTATCAGTAAGTGACACATGGCTTTTATTTTATCTTCCTCCACTTCTGGAAGGACTGAAAATGGTATCACTGGCCAGGGATTTCTTACAAAGAATTTTGCTTAGTCCACGTGCAAATCTCCCCTCATAAAACCCTTGGAAGTGGTCAGGTTTCCTGGCGGTTCTGCTGAGGCCAAGAGCTACTGAGTTCCTAGAGAAGAATTCTTCATTGACCTCACTCCCATTCATAGCCTTCTAGGTACAGTGCTGGGATTAAGAGGACTGACAACAGTTAGACCAACCTCAATTTAAGTTCCTCCTCTGTCTTATACAAGCTGTGAGGCATTGGTTATGGTTATCTGTTGAAGTCCTAGTATCTTCCTCTATAAAATGAACATAAAAATAATACTGGCTTCATAAGGATTTTAATGAAAATTACATGAAATAATGAACATGTGTGGATTCTCACAGTGCAAGGCAATTTGCCTACTAAATATTCTGTCATCACCATCATCCTCACCAGCACCATTGTCATCATCACCAGCACCATTGTCATCATCACCACCATCATCCACATCACCACTACCACCATTGTCATCATCACCATCAGTTAGTGAAACTGACACTGATTTCCCCTCCTCTCCCAGTGTTTTGGTTTCTAGTAATACACCATTCTTTGGCCAACGTCTAGGTGGTAAGTCAATTTCTGGTGCTATTTCTTACCTATTCTCACTAATGTAGGTGATACATATACTTTATATAGATATCATCAAATCTTATTTTTTAGGGGGGATATAGAAGAGTATTTCTTTTTTTTTTGATGAGTTCTTTATTATTTCAATTTGAAAAGAGAAAAGAGACATCAGGTATTTCTTCATACTGAAACATAGTCTCAAAATTTTAATTCTATGAAACACTGATAACAAGCATGAAGCATCTAACTCAAATTAAGAATGATCTGGGGACCAGCAGATGTAATGGTTATGTTCCTGGACTCCCACATAGTCGACCATGGTTTTCCTTCTGGACCTGGTGGCTTGAAACTCAAGCCAGGTGCGTGTACATGCATTGTCCAAGATCCCAAGAGAAGAAGGGAGGAGAAGGGACTGCAGTGTGGCCATGCTCCCCAGGGGAATGAGTTCTCGCTTTCTGTCTCTCTCTCTCTGGTAAACACATGAGCACTATAGAAAAAAATCTCTCTTTAAAAAAAGAAAAAAAAAAGAATGATCTGCACTACATCTTTCCTAACAATTGATAAAAGAATAATATAACTAGATAGCTTTCCTGTTAGTTGACTTCAATTTTAGTAAGTTCTTTGGTACAAAGACTGCAGTATAACTATTGTATCCATCTAACCTCCAACAGAACACATATACTCAACAAAATTGAGCTGAAGTGGGAGAATGAGATGTTTCAGGAACTTGCCAGGCCCAAAAAAAGCCCCTCTAGTGCTCCTGTGCATGCCCCTTTCAGCACCATGCAGCTGGTTTCAATAGCTGTGCCAATAGGAAATTCAACTTGAATTCTCTGCTATAAAGCAGCACAGAAAGACTGGGTCAAGAAGAAGTCATGGCCCAGCTGTAGTGGTACAAGTGACAGGGCATTACTGCTGGAGATGGGGCCTGCATGAGGTCCCGGAACCTGACCAGGCTGAGCCTACACCTGTGACCTTGGCTGACTAGGAGGCTGGGGCAGGAGGAGCAAGGCACAGCAAGACCCTATCAAAAATGATCTTTCTCTGGGACCAGCAGATGGTGTAATAGTTACATCGCTGGACTCTCACACAGTTGACTGTGGTTCGAGTCCTAGACCTGGCAGCTTAAACTCACACTGGGTGCATGTACATGCATA